ACGGGAATACTTAAATCTTACTTGAACTGTGTTTTTCATCATCTAGACGTAAGATAAGGCGAAAATACTTGAAACGATAAAGAATTTGAAGCTCTATCAGAATACATAATTAATTTTGTAAAAATCTGTTTTCTTTGTTTCTATAGTTTGAAAAAATATAGAATACACCGAAGTTTTGTGCTTGTCGATTAAGGTTGTGTTCATTGTGCTCAAATTTTTTAGACAATACATAAGCGCAAAATAGTAGACAAATACATAGGAAAATCGAGAATTTCAAGCACTATCAGAATATATAATTGCTCTTTCATGAAAATAATTCTATAGTAATGGAAACTTCTAAAAACTTACGTTGATGATAATGACAAAGTAATATTTATGAAAATGTTGACATGAGGGTACCTTCATGATTCCCAATTTATTTTGATAATTCACGAATAAAAACTAAAACCTAAATATACAGGACGATAGAAAATTTCACTCGCTTTTGGAATATGGTATTATTCTTTTAAAAACATGCTTTTATAGTGACGATATACTGAAAATATTGTGTGCACTTTTTGCTTTCCAAAGGTATATATATGACCCATTTCAGATAAGCAATGAACCGTTTCCACAGAAGCTGTTCTATAGAAGGTTGCTAATTTGCCTAAGTGTAACATGTGTTTTTATAGAGGCAAGTGTTTGACAAATATCTACGAAAGCCGTTCAAAAAATATCGTTCCATTTTCGAGATATTGAAAAAACAAGGGCCGATATGCTAGCCAAACAAGCTCTATTTGAAAATTATAAAAAACCTCCACTGGTTTATATTGCTTTTGTTTATTATTCACACATACATACCGGGTCCCATTTTTTGTACGTAGATAGCTCTTAGTATGCTCTACAAAACTATAAAGAGAAGAGACTTTGAAATACTTGGGCAATACCTTTTAACAAAATCACTATGGTATCTCTATACCCAATATATAGGGTTTCGGAAGATAAATCTCCTTTATCTGTATTATTTGAAAATACACCTGCGATATTTTTTCAGCGTAGATAGCTCTTACTATGTCCAACAAAACTGCAAGGACTTGAGAGTTTAAATTGCTTGAGCAATACTTGCTCATAAAACCAGTATGGTATTACTATACACAATATATAGGGTTTCAGGATATAAGTCCCCTTTATTTGTATGATTTGAAAAGACATCAACGCTATTTTTTCAGCATAGATAACTCTTAGTATGTCCAACAAAATTGCAAAGACATGAGAGTTTGAAATACTTGGGCAATATTTTGAAATAAAACCAATATGGTATTGCTATGAGCAATATATAGAGTTTCAGGTAGTAAATCTATTGGACCTGTATTATTCCAAAAGATATAGACGCTGATTTTTTGGCAGACATACCCTCTTAGTATATCGTTGAAAATTGCCTATATATTATGTTTGAAATGGTTGAAGAACACCGGACACTATTTCTGGATGGATATAGTTATAATATGGAGTATGTATGATACATACAGGGTGGGTCAAAAGTAACCTAACAAAGAATTTTTTGAATTTTTTCTTTGCACATTGCTAGTTAGATCTCATATTTATGCTACATATACTAGATGACATATAGATACTGATCATATGCTGCATCTTTGAGTTATATCACCTAGTATATATGGTATAAATATGAGACCGAACTAACAATGTAGAAAGAAAAAATTCTATAAATTCTTTGTTAGGTTACTTTGGTCCACCCTTTATGCGGTACATGATATTATGGAAACGCTTTCTATCTTTGTTCAGAACAATCCAGGTTCATCTTTTCCTACGTTGGCATTTATCATAAATATCTATGAAAATAGTAACTTACCAAAATTATGAAGGGCTGACGGATTTGTTCTAACAGAATTTAACTAGTTATGAGAGGAAATTATAGGGTAAAAGCTGTTTTACAAAATGGAGGATTGATGATATAATATAACGTATGCAAGTGAAAGATACTAGAAGGAAAATTCAATAATCAACCGCCAATAGAAATTGTTTATTAGTGGTATTTGGTTTTGTATATTATGAGAATGAATTATACTGCGCTACGTTCAGAGATAGGACCAGCATAAGAAACCATCTGATTTTTATGTTAAGCGATTTAATTGAATAAGTACTATTTTCGTAGATGTCTATGATAAGTGCCAACACGCACAAACTGAAACCTTATTGTTAGGAGAAAGAGTAACGTTTCTATTATATCATGTACCACAAATGTATTATATACACCTCATGCTATAACTCTACACATACAGAAAAACTGTCTGATATTGCCCAAAGATTTCAAACCATCAGCTCTTTGCAATTTTGTAGGATATACGAAGACCTATCTATATCGAAAAAATGGCAGCGGTATGTATTAGAATAAAAGAGAAAAAGAGTATAAAATAGTGGTATTTTTTGATAATTTTTAAATAGGGCCTATTTTGCTAACATATCCGTCCATGTCCTTTGGATACTTCGAGAACGGAACAATAGATTTTTGAACCACTTTTGTAGAAGTTTATCAAACACTTGCCTCTATAAAAACAAATGTTACAATTAGCCAAATTCGCAAACTTCTATAGAGCAGCTTCTATCGAAAAGGTTCATGGCTTACCTTGCATGTGTCATATATTAGCGTGACCAACTGCCAGGATGTCCCAACATTCATTTATTCATATAGGTTCACTCATATATCAGAAAAATGTGATCTTTTTATCACGTATATCTCGTATATAATGCAACTGATCTGTGACTATTTGAGATCTATATATTAGGAAAAATGTGGATTACTAAGGACGTCCTTATAATCACTGTGCTAAACGTGCCTCACATCATATTTGTTAACATTCACCATTCTCCACTAAGAAATATGAAACAACATTAAACACCAATTAGTTTCATTATCAAATAATTAATCAGAAATACAAGTTATCATTTTGTTTATCTACGAATAGGATGTTTTATTAAGTTCAAATTACATAGAATGCAAACGACTTGTTCGATTTTTGTTGCCTTATGAAAATCATCAATAGTTCCTCTGTAGATCCCACCAAGAATTACATCAATTTTAAGACGTTGATTAATATTTTCAATAGCTACTCTTGTGCTATTAATGTCATGATTCAAATCCTTATCTTCATCTATTAATTCACGTGCATGAGGCTTCTTTTTGGGAGTAATTACGTATTCTTCACCAATATATCCTTTATCCGCAATAATTTGCACGGCATTGTTCACATGTTCTAATAGTCCTGATTCTCTTAGAACTGTAATGTCATCTACACTTCCACGAAAACATTCGGATACGTGTACTATTCGATAATGAAAGTCATAAGCTATTTGCACTTTCAATGCATAATTTGTTGAACTTTTCGCATGATAATATGCTTTACGTTGTTCTGAATCATAAAGTTCAGCAATTGCAATAAAAACCGAGTCGACTATTAGTTTATGATATTATTGAGGTTCGTATGGTGTTCTACTGCTAGATATATTAGCAGGTATTGAAATTAAATCTGGATGTAAACACGAATGTAAAATATTGACAACTGTTGACAATAAATAATTCGCTGCTTGTTGACTTAAATTCAATTCTAAAGCAATATAACGTTCAGAATGATGACGTTTTAAGTACCATAGTGTAACGACAAGCGTATTCATAGGAGATAAATACGAGATAGTGGCACTGTTTGTAAGTTGGTGGTTCTTATGGGAGCAATAATTCATAAGCAGTTGTTCACACATAGAATATAATTCTTGTACTTGCTCGACGTCATGATCAGTATGTTGTAAGCAAGATGCATTGGTACGTCTCCATTCTGACCAAGGACGTTGTTCTACAGTATAGAAAAAAAGTACAATAGTTATTAATTTTTGACTACTCCTGTAGCACAAAACAATCGACTAATAGATGCATGTGTAAACTAACAGAGTAATGTTACTTACTATCATCTAAGGC